AAGCACTCTTAAATCCATCTATGTCAACAAGCAGTCTTACATCCATTGATGTCAACAAGCAGTCTTACATCCACTTATGTCAACAATCAGTCTTACATCTATCTACGTCAACAAGCACTCTTACATCCATTGATGTCAACAAGCAGTCTTACATCCTCCTATGTCAACAAGCAGTCTTACATCCATTGATGTCAACAAGCAGTCCTACATCCTCTTATGTCAACAAGCAGTCTTACATCCATTGATATCAACAAGCAGTCCTACATCCTCCTATGTCAACAAGCACTCTTACATCCATTTATGTCAACAAGCACTCTTACATCCATTGATGTCAACATGCAGTCTTACATCCACTTATGTCTAGAATCAGTCTTACATCTATCTACGTCAACAAGCACTCTTACATCCATTGATGTCAACAAGTAGTCTTACATCCTCTTATGTCAACAAACAGTCTTACATCCTCCTATGTCAACAAGTAGTCTTACATCCTCTTATGTTAACAAACAGTCTTACATCCTCCTATGTCAACAAGCACTCCTACATCCATTGATGTCAACAAGCAGTCTTACATCCACTTATGTCATGTCAACAATGTCAACAAGCAGTCTTACATCCATGTCAACAAGCAGTCTATGTCAACAAGCAGTCAACAAGCAGTCTTACATCCTCTTATGTCAACAAACAGTCTTACATCCTCTTATGTCAACAAGCACTCTTACATCCTCTTATGTCAACAAACAGTCTTACATCCACTTATGTCAACAAGCATCCATCTTATGTCTTACATCCTCAACAAGCAGTCTTACATCCATATGTCAACAAACAGTCTTACATCCATCTATGTCAACTTATGTCAACAAGCAGTCTTACATCCATCAACTATGTCAACAATGTCAACAGTCTTACATCCTACTTATGTGTCAACAAGCAGTCTTACATCCATTGTCATGTCAACAAACAGTCCATTTACATCCATCCTTATGTCAACAAGTCAACAAGTCTTACATCTATTGATGTCAACAAGCAGTCTTACATCCTCTTATGTCAACAAACAGTCTTACATCCACTTATGTCAACAAGCAGTCTCACATCCTCCTATGTCAACAAGCAGTCTCACATCCACTTATGTCAACAAGCAGTCTTACATCTATTTATGTCAACAAGCAGTCTTACATCCTCTTATGTCAACAAGCAGTCTTACATCCATTGATATCAACAAGCAGTCTTACATCCTCTTATGTCAATAAACAGTCTTACATCCATCTATGTCAACAAGCAGTCTTACATCTATCTATGTCAACAAGCACTCTTACATCCATCTATGTCAACAAGCAGTCTTACATCCATTGATGTCAACAAGCAGTCCTACATCCTCTTATGTCAACAATCAGTCTTACATCTATCTTCGTCAACAAGCACTCTTACATCCATTGATGTCAACAAGCAGTCTTACATCCTTCTATGTCAACAAGCAGTCTTACATCCATTGATGTCAACAAGCAGTCCTACATCCTCTTATGTCAACAAGCAGTCTTACATCCATTGATATGTCAACAAGCAGCACTCTTACATCCTCTATGTCAACAAGCATCTTACATCCATTGATGTCAACAAGCAGTCTCTTACATCCTCTTATGTCAACAAGCACTCTTACTTCCATTGATGTCAACAAGCAGTCTTACATCAATTTATGTCAACAAACAGTCTTACATCCTCTTATGTCAACAAGCAGTCTTACATCCATTGATGTCAACAAGCAGTCTCACATCCTCTTATGTCAACAAGCAGTCTTACATCCATTGATGTCAACAAACAGTCTTACATCTACTTATGTCAACAAGCAGTCTTACATCCATTGATGTCAACAAGCAGTCTTACATCCAATAATGTCAATAAACAGTCTTACATATATTTATGTCAACAAGCACTCTTACATCCATTGATGTCAACAAGCAGTCTTACATCCAATAATGTCAACAAGCAGTCTTACATCTTCTTATGTCAACAAGCAGTCTTACATCTATCTATGTCAACAAGCACTCTTACATCCATTGATGTCAACAAGCAGTCTTACATCCACTTATGTCAACAAGCAGTCTTACATCTATTTATGTCAACAAACAGTCTTACATCCTCTTATGTCAACAAGCAATCTTACATCTATTTATGTGAACAAGCACTCTTACATCCATCTATGTCAACAAGCAGTCTTACATCCATTGATGTCAACAAGCAGTCCTACATCCTCTTATGTCAACAATCAGTCTTAGATCCATTGATGTCAACAAACAGTCTTACATCCTCTTATGTCAACAAACAGTCTTACATCTATCTACGTCAACAAGCACTCTTACATCCATTGATGTCAACAAGTAGTCTTACTTCCTCCTATGTCAATAAACAGTCTTACATCCATCTATGTCAACAAGCAGTCTTACATCCTCTTATGTCAACAAACAGTCTTACATCCTCCTATGTCAACAAGCAGTCTTACATCAACTTATGTCAACAAACAGCCTTACATCCTCTTATGTCAACAAGCAGTCTTACATCCTCTAATGTCAACAAGCAGTCTTACATCCATTGATGTCAACAAGCAGTCTTACATCCATTGATGTCAACAAGCAGTCTTACATCCACTTATGTCAACAAAAAGTCTTACATCCTCTTATGTCAACAAACAGTCTTACATCAACTTATGTCAACAAGCAGTCTTACATCCTCCTATGTCAACAAGCAGTCTTACATCCTCCTATCTTACATCCTCTTATGTCAACAAACAATCTTACATCTATTTATGTGAACAAGCACTCTTACATCCATTGATGTCAACAAGCAGTCTTACATCCTTCTATGTCAACAAACAGTCTTACATCCACTTATGTCAACAAGCAGTCGTACTTCCTTCTATGTCAACAAGCAGTCTTAAATATACTTGCACAATGAAGCCGTCTTACATTTAACTACATCAGCAACTGGTTTTATATCTAACTTCCTTAGCAACCAGACTTTTTCCAGTTTTATTCTTTTTATCCGTTTTTTTTTTTTTTTTTTCGTGGAGTATAGCCATGTTAGATTTTGCTCTGAATTTCCAGGACTAAGTGTCAGTCCATCTTTAGTTTGTAAAATTAAAGATGATAATTTTATTTGATCGATTGAAACCTCCATGAAGTATGTTAGAAAGTCCTGATTTCTGATGTATCAACTATAGCTGCTCTGATATAGTGATGACAAACTTGAAACAGAGGCAATGAAAAGACATTTTTTCTTTTTCAAACCCTGCCTATGACGTTGTTAACCTTGTAGTTTGTGTCAAGATGCTGACAACATCCATGACTTTATGAAGATCCTTTCCACCATATCATCTGAATCTCATGTTATATACTATGATACTTTGAGAAAAGATGCTGAAACACTGCACAGCATTACAAATTAGTAAAATACCTGTTAGTATATGGAGATTTGTGACAATCTGTTTTTGAAGATTCTGTTTGTTCAGAGTGCAAATCAAAAGCTTACAACAACCTCTCAACAACCATCCTATATGTCAGGCAATCAGCCCTTGTTTCATGACAACCTGATCTGTATATATTGTTCAGTAGCATTACCAAAAACTGCTATATCATAATCTATAAAAACCTCACCCGTCATTGAGTCCGGTGACTGTTGGCCTTCTTGGCTTATTTCAGAATAGATAAGATCATAAGGCAGCTGGTCATTATATGAAAACATATACCAAAAGTCCATTTTGACCTTTGACCTGAAATTTGGACTTGACCAATGACAAGACGACAGACAGATAACCATGTTGAGTGACGCTCTGACCAAATCTTTAGGTCAGACAAATCACTAAAAGATCATTCAACACATATAGTATATTTTTAAAGTTTATTTTTTGTCAAATTTGGGTGTACAACTTTTTTGAGACAGAATTTCTCTTCCATTTTTACAATAATAATATAACTTTATAGGCACACTTTAAACAAAACACTCATACTATGCACAGGAGAAGCTGTCCTTACTGACTACATTTCTGTAACTACACCAGAAAGAAAGAATTCACTCTATTCATACACCAACATTTGTCACAAAATAGGTATCAGATAATTGTTCAAATGCAGTCAGTAATGAAAGATTCTAATGTGCTTTGGAATTCTATGTGTCCAGTCACTACACACATGTAAAAAGGTACAGTCGTGCAAAAAAAAATATACCAGCTAAATGATTGGCTGTTGCCATGACAAAACCTGTCCAATCAGAAACTAGTCAATTTAGGTTATCTAATTTTGAAGAAAATTCATTATGACAGGTTTGTTCATCTTAATACATTTACTTGTAGGAGATAAAAGTTAAAAATAAACATTGTAAACAATTACAAAAAAAAATATGATTTAAAGTGTTTATGATTGTACAATGGCAACATCAGGCAGTGTTCAAGAAGATTGAATGGAGATATTAATCTGATGAAAAAAGGTTTTTGAATTAATTTTTAATTTACAAATGAAGAAAACAATGAAATATGTCTGACATAGACTTTAAGCGCAAACTGACATTTCAAAAACGCGACTTGTACTGAGACAGTGTCCAACTGGTGGTAGATGTGCCCTATAAGCAAATAAGAACAGATTCATCAATTATATGGGAATCTGTTGTCAATCATACATGCACATTCTTTAAATGCTTGTCATTGCTTCAGGCTAGCAATTTCGAATCATTTTTAGTACATCATGAGTATTTTCCTTTCATATTTTGGAATTCATTTTGTAGAAAGCAAATTAAATATTTTGCTATGATTTTATTATGTATGCATTTCATAAAAAGGAATGCAAAAAATGCATTATGGTTGAGATTCAAACAAAATGTGATTGTCAATTCAATATGAAATTTGAGGTTATTCTACATAACAAAACCATCCATAACATATAAATGATAACTGATATACAATGATAATTTCATCAAAAGTCTAATTTAATTTTTGGGGGGAAAAAAAGGAAAAAAAATAGTGATTCTTTAATTTTACGTTGAAGTTATATGTTAATTTTCTTCTTTTCAATTCTGTTGAAATGAGACTTATTCACAAAATAATTTTACTATATAAGCCAAAATCAGACATGCAAAAAAAAGTCATTTCTGAAAAAAAAGCACCATAGCAAATTTAAACTATAATAAAAAAAATCTCTCTATATATATATATACACTCTGACAACAGCACTTAATAGTATATCCTTTTGATCAAAGGACACAAAAAAAAATGTAACCAACATGATATTAGAGACCCAAAGGAATTCCTGATGGATCCATTTTCAAAAAACACAAAATATATCTAAAAAAAATTTACTGAAAAAAATGATGTGGAGCAAACAAAGCTAGCTGCATGTGGAACAGCTTGTGGGTACACTCATGATACAGTGAAACGGTGATAATATATATACACAAATATACGACAAATTTACATTTGAAATTTGGTCCTTCACTTGAGGCAATAGAAACATCAGTTCACTTATATACATATAAATTAACATACGTTTGTACACATGGCAGGAGGAGTCAATCACAGCTGTTCGCGGAAATATATGGCAGCTTTCAGAATATATTTACAAATAGTATCTAATTTTGGTATCATATCTCAAGATGAACATCCTGGAATCCTACTTTACCTGTAATAAGCCCATGTTCTGTTATAATTAACGAAAACATTTCCATATAACGATATTTAACAGGTGAGAAATAAACCATACTGAATAAAAATTTTCTGTATTTCAACTTTTTGTGGTTTTAAAATAAATTCTTCTGGACTTCTTACAGGTAAAATATGATATTTCATTCAAACTATTCACAACGGAGAGCAACAAAGGGAGGTAACACAATTTATGTAAATTTTACTCTCCAAAATCCTGGTCAAAAACGATAAGAAAAAATATTCTCAAGAAAATAAATTCTACACAATTTTTCTAAACAAATTTGTTTAAGTTGAGACTCACAATACCCAGGAATGAAATTGATATCTGAAAAATAACAATATAGTCTTAACAAGTGTTTATCTTTTAACTTCAAAAAAAAAAGTATTTTAAATTCAGCCAAATTTAACAAAATACAGGAATGTATGTATGTTGTTCAAACAAAGATTTAACTAATCAAACTGCCCTACAGACAATTTCATAACAATAACAGATTCAAAAGCTGGAATTTTAACCTTACAAAATAGATTCTGATGGAATGAAATTACTTCGAATTGGTCCATTATTTGAATAAGATTTGCATCACATTCAATTGATAAGTACTCAATCAGTTCTGAATTCCAAAATCATAACAAACATTTTCTGATTCTATAAAAGTCAGTTCAGCCAGAGAAATCTCAAAAATTATCATGACTAGTGCAATAGTTTTAAACTGCCAATTTTAAAAATAAATTAAGATGATATACATTTATGTATAAATGCAATTACGGCATATTGACACATGACAGATTATTTGGTCTATAAATAGATGAAGATGTTTTTTTATATTGTCCATTTAAACCCTCCCTCATGACGAACAAGCCAGTTGAGTTGGGGTAGGAGAACGGTTTACAAACTCCCGTTCTGGTACAACAACGTTGTTGTAGAAACCATTGTGGAGCGGAGTTGTCTTCCCTTCCTGATTGTTATTAGATAGGATTTGTTGATTGAGACAGATTTTCTTCATGACGGGTTCATCATTTTCTTCCATTTCTTCATCCAAGTCGGAATCCTCTTCAGCCATGTCAAGTTTGTCTGTACGATCTACTTGATGGTCAAGAAGTGGATGCTGTTGCATGTTACCATTCAGAATTCCATGGGACAGACCAGAATCGGTTGCCTTTCCAATGAAGTTACGAATCTCTGAGAAGTAAGACTCGTCTTTCTCATCAAGATCTGGTTCATTGATAGGGGAGTCTATCACATTTGGACCTTCAGATTCATGCTTCTTCAGGTGGCGATCAAGGTTGGTCTGTTGGCCGAAGCAGCGATCACACAGTGGACATTTGAATGGCTTTTCCTTATTGTGAATGTTCCTTACATGTCGCTGAAGATTAGAAGAAATACTGAACGAGCGTTCGCAGTATTTGCATTTGTAGGGCTGTTCGCCAGTGTGTGTTCTCAAATGGCGGGTCAAGTTAGCCGAACGTGGAAAAACTTTTCCGCAAAATTTACAGGAATACCGCTCCTTAAGTTTGTTGGCAGGATATGAAAATTGCTCTGGGAATTTGTCCATTTTCAGAATAGGAGACATTGTTTTGTCTAAGCTTTCAGACTTCATTCCATATGGACTGATGGGAGAATTTACGAATGGAGAGCTTGTAATAGGAAATCTTGTATATGGCATATACCTGGCATTTTCCTGCAGGCACTGACTGAGCTTTTCCTTGTCCATTCGCAGCGTCTGCTCAAAGAGCAGCTGATTAGGGAATTGTGGGTATGCATAGTGAAGTTTTGATGACTCAGGATTCACCAATGCTGACCTCATTTCTCCAAATACATGTGTTTTCCTGGTGTCAATTGGACTGACCTCTTTTGGTACCTTCTGAGTGAGGTCTAGTGGCTGTTCGCCAGGTGTTTCTGAAGATTTCTCTTTCAGTGGCAAATCTGGTGAGGACATTGCTGATCTGCTTGATTTTGACAAATCAAATGGGGTGTCCTGTTCCTCAGGGGACTTCTCCAATACCGGACTTCTGGTTGGTGGCGACCGTGGAGACATTACTTGGGAGACAGGTTCTGATGGAAATTTAGCTGGAAGATAGCCAGCGGGTCTTGGGGATTCCATTAAGATGGGTTTCTGATGACGACGCACACTACTTTCACTTTCAGCATCTGAAGCTGAACTGCCGTCATGCTCACTTGATGAACTCAAGGGAGAGTCGCTTGGTTCTGACCCAACAGAGTTCTTTCGGAATCTTTCTTCTTTTACCATCTCCGGCTCAGATGAAACAGGCCTTGGTGAGACTCTTGGGATAAAAGCTTTGCCCTCAGGACTTGTGGCATGGCCAAGTTTGGATGGGTTTGATGGAGACATCGGTGAGTTGAGTGATCCGAATGGGAGATGAGATCCTGGAAACACTGGATAGGAGGCTCCAAGTGGAGGATAAAATGGATAGGGAGGACGGTACATTCCCATCAGTAAGGCCGGGTTTAATGTACTAGCAGGATTTCCAGCACTGTGCAAACTCATTGGTGAGATCTTGTCAGCTGAGAAAGGCATGTGCATGCCGTTGCGGAGAGCTCCCTCACAGAATCGCTTGTGCTTGCTGAGTGAGGTGACTGTCGAGAATGCTTGACCACAATCTTTACACTTGATCTGTTGACGGCAGTCAGCATGCATCCTCTTGTGGCGACAGAGGTTGGAGAACTGTGTGTACGCCTTGAGACAAACTTCGCACTGAAATGGCTTCACACTACTGTGGATATGTTGGTGCTGTTTCAGACCACTCGAGGTCGCAAATGTTTTCCCACATTCTGTGCATGCGTGACAGCGTGCTCCCACATGCTGGGCCCGGATGTGGCGCTGAAGGTTGCTTGGGTCTGTGAAAATTTTATCGCAATTTTCGCAGTTGTAACGTTTCCCTGAATCATGGGATATCTGGAAAACATCAATTTTAAAAATTTAGATAAGACAGATGAAATATCAATATAGGAATGTTTAATAAGAATTTAAAGTAAAATACAACTTCAGATTGGTAAAATTCTTACTACAATGCTTCTAAACAGCTCTATAAAACTTGCTCTACGAATGCTATATCAGACAATATTTACAATCTGATACAATAAATTTCTTTCAATGTAATGGTTTATATGTGATATTAAGAGAAGCATGACATTAACAGAAACAATGAGATGCTCACCTGGTGACGAATAAGGTTTGATCTCCACTGAAAGCTTCTGGGACATTCATCACATTTAAATTCTCCTTCCATTGAGTCTTGCTCAACATGATCATCTCCTTCATGAAGACTGAAAAATACAATAGCAATCAAACTTATATTTTTCATCAGATAACAAGAGAAAATATAAAATACTTTATATACAAAGATATAAATTAACAGAACCTCAACACTGTCAGAGATGTTTAATGACCATCTCTTGTAGCATGACACAACCCATATATAGAAATTAAAACCCCTCCACTTGTATCACAGACAAGCACATAACGTACCATCAATGGATTGTAACTACTTAAACTGCGAGTCAGAACTAGTGATTACACACGAACATGCGACTCAGACAAAGACACAAGGATCGTAACAGTTTCACCACATATCTCCCCGTGGTAGGGAGTTTCCTACTCACAGAGGCTAAGGTCACCTGGGGCCATGTTCTAACGTTACAAAGAATTTTATCATTATTTTGCACAAGGCATCTTTAATAAGGTTTTGGTGAACCAGGAAATAGTCAAAACCACAGCCAATTCATTTTCATCTTTACTGACATAACTAATTTTGAATATGACACCGACCTGGCTAATTCTCTTCTCTTTTAAATGTTTAGCTGTAATTGAGTCTTCTTCTATTACCTTTACAACACTTACACAAAGATTGTTTTACTTCTGAGAGACATTCTGTACAAATATTAGTATATTTTACTCAACTTGTGACATTGTTGTTTACTCTAATATTACAGATAATGAGTGTAATAGGTCAAGTTGAAAATAGTTCCTGATAACGAAAAATGTCAGAAGTGTCACAATGATACCTAGGTGTGATCGATTTCCAACATGATAAAAAAATTTACCTTTCTTTATTTAAATAAGAATGTTATAACCTTTGAACTTTTAAGAAAAGTTGCAAATATTTTATATAAGATTGTTTTTATATCTTTTCTTTTAAATCAATTTATTCTTGTCCTAATTGGCTGCATCATGCCATGGTTGTAATTAATCTCTAGAAATCAATTAATTCTTTACAACGTTGCAGACATGATGCTGTTATGAATGCCATGTGGTAAAAATCAATTATTTTTTTATAGATATTTTCATCAATGAATGCGTAACAAATTTTATTCCAAAAGGCTAATTGTTCTGTTGATAAAATATGTTTTTATGGACTAATTATTGTTAACACTAAAACTAATTCATGGCAATCGTTGTCATAACAATATATTAACTAGATCACTACCATTAGTGCAAGAGCATATCCTGTTTGTGTCTAGTGCCATCATCTTTAATAATAGGCTGGCTTTGTCTCGACATCACATATCTCAATATCACATATCTATCTTTATCCTGTACTAAAACCAGGAAATCAAAGTACTTTTCCAGTGTTAAAATATCAGATACAATTTAGTGAGTTTTTCAATTTTTTTAAAAAATATTAATATAAATCACCTGAAACATTTATATCAGAAACAAACATTATAAAGACCAAGATTTAAGGTCGATAAGTTTATCTTCCTCCTTACTTGTAGGAAGAATTTTTCAGATTTGCTATTCTGAGTGATTTTTTATGACGAAATAAAAACCAACGCCCTAGACAAAAAGACATACAATCATTATACACCGAACGACATTATTGAAAATTGATTTAAATCCCAAGCTTTTATCTGATCAGGATGACACGAATGATTCTTGATTTATGTCGATATGCAGGTGGCGGATACTTGAAATGAATTTTATAATATTGATTTAAGACATAAATGAGTACATCACGAATTATAGCATTTGTTTCAAAGGATTCCGTCAAATGTTATCAGAAATAAAAACCACTCAACATGGACAGATATGTCCTGTTAGCATAAAGCTAAATCAAACAACACAGATTTTTCCTTATTTGTATAACAGATTAAATGATCTCTTCGAAAGATCTTTATTACCATGAATCAGATAAATTTTGCATCTCGTTTCTCGTACGTACTCTGTGAATATTTGCAATAGATATAAAGTAACTGTTAGCATACCAATGTCACACATCCATAGTAATGACATGTACATACTGTTACCAGTCGAAAAAAGCACTAAATATATAGACAAGCACTTTGTCCGAGATAAGGCTTATTCCTTAACATTTAAATCGTAATTCTTAACATGTACTGGTTTTTCTAACTGAAGAGCTACTTGGAACAAAAAAAAAATCAGTCCTTCAATGTCTCTATGTTACGACCTGTTTAAGGGAAAGTACACATTTTTTTTTCCTGTTCTCAGAAAAAAGTGTTTATCGAAATAACAGATATAATGTTATCTTCTAATGTAATTGAGAATTTTAAACTTTTGATGCAGAAACAAAACTAAAAAAGATATTTTGTGTTTAGAATATTCAGAAATATTTTCCTTTTTTTATGTTAATTTTTTGCGCTCCTGATTTCATGCTGTCGGTGGAAATTAAGATGTGTTAATTACCTTGTGCTATCCTCATCAGATCGACTGTACTGGTCAGAATGGACATCATGTAACTGCTGTGCTTGCTTTGTGCATGCCATTGCCTGATGGCGTTTCAATGTCACCATGTTGCTGAAAACCTCCTCACACTCGGAACATTTGTAGCTTAAGTCTCCTGTGAATATACAAAAGTTATCAAACATTAGAAACAAGAAAAAATCAGATATCAAAAATAAAAAAATGGATTTGATTTTTGTCCATTGCCCACCTGTATTACTAAAAATCATACTAATGATGACTTGAAGGAAGCCATTTTAGTAAGAAGCATTCTACATGTTAATCTGCCACTTGACATGATGAACATGTACTCCTTTCCTAACCCGAGAGAAATTGTCCAATAAAAATCAAATCCATTTCGGTGAGATAAAGATGGTTGCTGCTTTGTGATAATTGCCCTAATTATTGGCAATCTATTGGCTATAACTAAGCCTTAAGGCATCATTATAGTCCAATAAACATCCAAACTCTTTGGACTGATCTCACAAGTAAAATATTCTCCCAAACATCCAAAGTGATCCTAGCACACATTGTCTCATGTCCATTTTAGCTATTATCTGTAAAACCTCCATCTTAAGTGGTTTAGAAGTTGTTGTCAATTGTTCAGGTGAAAATTGACCTATGATCGTGTCAACTATACCTCTGGAGCAGTTGGACAGTTCAGTCTGGATGAGCAATAAAGATAGCTGAGAGTCCGGATGGCTCACAATAAAACTATCCTTTCAACTTCTTCTTGGGACAAATTTTAGATCTAAGTCAACAGAACTGACTATTTTACAGCCCAGCTCCCTTCCTGGATGAACACATGGGGACACTTAGTATAGTAATAAAACCATATATCTGTCCGACAACAAACTTCACGACACACTGATGCACTTTTTTATATCTCTCTAAGTAAGATATAATATTTGAAGTGTACTGTGAAATGGCTTTGTCATACTTCTAAAAAAGGGGAGATTTACTGGTTTTTCTTTACGATAAGGGTCATGCTTGAGGCAGTTTTCTTTTGTGATCCTCTTATACTATATGTGAATCCCTTATCAGTGGTGTCCGTTGTGAAATGAAATGTCTAATCTACCATTCAGTTTAGATCTGCTTATTGAATGAGAGGTTTATTTTATCAATTAAATCTTATTTAGTTTTCTGAAACTTTTATTTCCCTTATAATTAATTCAAGTGATGAGAAAATTAATTCTCAATAAATAATAAAAAAATAAAACAAAACAGGAAAAGAAAATATATTACTATTTGAGGTACAGATTTATTTGATAATAATTCAGGTCACATCAGCGATTGAATGGAGGAGATACAAAATTTATATTAAGAATTTCAGATGCAACTCAGTTTACGTCATCTTTCCATTACAATATCGGGATTGCAGCTGCCCAGGTTGAAGCGTGGAGTGAGACTTTTGTTCACGTTCACAGTCAGCTGATCAACAATAGACACCAGTAGAACAGATTATATTTTCTCATTGTCTGCGTGAGCCATCTTCATGATTTCATAGAGATAAGAGTTTTGATAGAGAAAGCTAAAGCAGATGAACTCCGATTTTATGAATAGAGGCTGCAATAATAAATAATAGCGAAACGGAAAATGCTGGTGTAACGGGTTTTAGTTAAAGCAGGTGTCAGCGCGACCTTATATGTATCAGGAACCATTTTGTTTGTAAAGTTTCGTTTCGCAGGATAAGGTCCTCAATGCAGAATTCTTTTGTCTGTAGAGATCACAAAAGACAAGATGGCAGGCATCTGCTGCGAAGAGTGTGGACTAGTGAAAAAATTAACAATGGCAAAAATCAGGTATGGCACACGACTATTTGTATGAACGACAGACTGAGTGCGGTTTTATTAGAATATATGAGGGAGGGCCGTACTACTGCCCGGGCTATCCATTAGATATGGAGTGTGCCCCAGTATGACAAACAATTTTCCCAAACATCTTGATATCAGCCCCTAGTTGTGTAAATTTAAAAACATACAATAGCTCTGACATATTGAATTAGAGATGTGACCAACAGTTAAAATAGTTCACTAAATGACGCAAAAATGAGATTTTTGGATGTAATCATTGCCTTTTGGGTTTGTCAATAACGGGTAGTGCTATTAAAATAAGACATTGTCCAGATATTATTACAAGTGAGATTGATAGGAAGTGACAGCCTTCAAGCCACGAGTTTTAGACACAAAGTCACCTCACATTTAATTACATCATAACATAATTAAATGAAAAAAAAAAAAATTAAAAGTCGTTGGATGATCTTTAAACAATCTAATGAAAGCTTTTATAAAATAAAATAGTTTCCATCTTCCTTTCAAATAAAACATTAAAAAAAAAAGAATTAAATAAAGTAAATCAAAATATATTAAAAACATTCCCCCTCCCCTTTTTTTGGAAAACTTGCACAGTAAGGGTGATTTATCCACTTTTCATCAACCTTCAGTCACCACAGGGTTGCTATAGCGTTAGTGTGACACCCTCCCACTATTAATGATACTAATTACTCATGGTGACAGGGGCGGGTAACTCTGGCTACATGGTGGGACCACTTTACAGACAGTACTTTGGGATGGGAGATGTTGACAGGGTATGAAGTGTGTCAGTGCTAGATATACATTATATACCATATCTGTTATTCATTAAGATCAATATAGCTTGGCGAGTAGTTTATTGGGAAGTTGATCGTCTGTTGAGACAAGTGCCTGATTTTAATGAGAGACCTTCCACCAAGTGCTGATAAGAGGGGCTATAATCATGGCCCATCCCAGCAATTAAACACCAATCATCTATCCCTGTCCTCTGGTAATGTCATCAAGTGTCCACATCATGAAAGACGCTGCTGAAGCCGTGATGCCTCATTAAGGAACCTAGCTCACTAACCATATTTTTACTTTGGGAAAAGTAGTTATATTTGAAAAAAAAATAAATAAATAGAATTTGAAATATTAGTTCTGTGGTAGTAATTTTTGTTCAACAAATTCAGTTTGAAAAATCTCAAATATTTCAGTAGTTATTTTTCCAGAAAAACTGCTTGTTTAATTTATTTCAGAAGGTTTAATTGTTGTATAGAATTGATTTATATAACATTTAATATATAATAATAATTGACTACTATAATATTGTAAACCTGATTTATATTAATATATATATATAAGGTTTATAATAAATATCCTTTGTCATGAAGCTGCAGGCTCTAGTAGCCTACAATATGCGAGATGAAGGACATATTTTTTCACAAAAACTGACAAATTAACAGTATTTGTGTCCTTGTATCACACGGTTGGCCAAACTGTGGTAAGAGCAACCTTAAGTGTCGCTCCACACAATGATGCGACAGATAAATCTAGACATCCTGATAGGTCAGTACTTCAAACTTTAAATAATTAGAATTCGTAAGATGACAAAGTATTACTGTTGGTTGTAGATGACAATGAACTCAGTCAAGGAGGACCAAGTCAAAAGTCCAGATCTTGTTATTAACTGTTGCAGTGTTCCGGATGCTTAGCAGGAGATAACTGCAGAGGCTAATGTTTTAATTGTTTTGCGAACGAGTAATTGAGTGTGTGTCAAAATGATATGGCTACTGTTTTATCCTGTTGGGCACAAATCTTTCACCTTTTTCTCAGAATCTCTTATAAACCAACATTATTTAAATATATATCCCACTTAATCATTATTATAAGCTTTTGTTAACTTTCAAAAAGTAAAATTTTTCTTTTCAGAAAAAAAGAAATATAATTTCCTTACAACTTGAAATGATGCATACTTGAATTTCTTGATTCTTTTTCAGAATACAATTTTTTTCCTTGAAAAATTGTTTAAATGAAAAATGATGTGAGATTTTTTTTTTTAACCATTTTGTTAAAATTGTTTTTATGATTCATCTTGGGAATTTTGGTGCAGATGTGTGATGCTGTTTAGCTCAGTACCTGCACAATAGCCATCAGCTTTTGTTCAAAAGCAGGTGGTTCTAAATCAGTTTTATCATTCATTTTTTTAATCTGTTCCTTTATATCTTATTTTCCTTCAGTGTGATGGTCACTTCCATGACAAGAGATGACCGGTCAGTTGTGGTCACTTCGGTGTCATCAGTGGTCAAGCCATTTCCCATGGACATCAATTGATTATACACATTAAAAATTCAAATGAAATATTTCACATGAAAAAATGAAGACCTATACCATTGAAGAGCCTGGTCCTTCACCATCTTCTATTTAATTATACTGGATCTCTCAATAGCTGGTGGTCACTCAGTGGTCACTACAATGCCAAGTGTCCAGTTCCTTTAGACTGACATAAACCGACCCTTCCCATGACCCTAAGATAGGTCTTTCGCCAGGTCAAGATTAAAAACTTCAGCCACTGACCACTGGTTCAAACAAATTTTTTAAGGCTATTGTTCGGTGTGAAAGAATAATCAAATGATGTGAGCTGCTATTTCCAACTGACATTTTATATTATAATAATTCATAAATTTTCTAAAAACAGCTTTTGTCTAGTTAAGAATCCTAGTCAGGTCCTGAGTCCCTTTGTCCAGCAATGTCCACTACTGGTCATTTTTCTGCATACAAAATTAATGGTAGCTTAGAACTAATTCTTTGCAAAAGTCTTTTTGCAAGGAAATAGTTGACAAGGGTATGACACTGCGCTTCAAGCTGCAGCTGCCACACAATTTATTCTTCGGCCAAATTGACCACTGGTCAGTGAGGAGATGAGCAGAACAAAAAGTCTTTAATGTGCTTTTTTATGCTTATGATGGGGAAAATGAATTAACAAATTCTTTGTTAGGTTGTCATTGAAAATTAAAAATAAATAAATGTTTTCATTTGTTAAAAAGATGGAATTGACTTTTAAAGCTGCCCATGGCATTACAGTTGTAAAATATTACTCTCATGTTTATTATTACACAACATCTGACTTTAAATTGATGCCTTTTTTCTTAATTTCTTATTCAAAAACAATTTTTGATTTCTTTTATGTAAATCAAGATAAATCTTGAAAAAAAACTTGACAATATATCTAATGTGAAAAAAGTGTCTACTTTCAATAAAAGCTTTTAGATATTATACATGAATATTTTAGCCAATAGTAAGATTTTACAAACAAAGTCAGGTCAATTGAAAAAAAAGTCCCTCACTCATAAGGTCTTAATAAGATACAATTCTTCAATTGAATTGATATCCAATTACAGTTTAACAATTAAAATCAATTTTATAACTCAAGCAATGATTTGTATGGGGCAGGAGAGAGGGGCTGGGTTTGCCTTTAAACCAAGAGAATTTTTTACCGAATGGAAAAACATATTGTATTTTTAAAACCTTCCTGGTATCAAAGGTCTCAGGGTGGGATTTGCTTGATATCACACAGGTGAACCTAACCCAAATGTCCTAGCAGGATTGTATTTGATCGAAAGTCATTAGTGAAGTATCTGTGATTATCCGCGATTTCTCTTTATATCTTTCTGGTTATACGAGCCTCCACCCTCTATTTCCGCAGGTGAACCAGTGCATCTTGAATATTAAAGAAGAAGCAAACTTCATATCATTATCTTGTCCTATTTTGACTCATTCACATTGAGGTTAGCCGGGTACCTTCAGGTGAGTTCGAACGTTTGCATTGTACCCGATTGTAAGCTTAACCAGAAACTTGTGTGTGGAAGAATAGCGTGACTTTTAGCAATCGCCCGTCACCCAATTTGACATATACACAGATAAGGGGCATAGGACTCCTAGTTCAATTCAAGGCAGTTGACATCACTTGTCAAAATTTTCAAAGCCTTTAAACAATTTGTGAAAACAAATGAGGAATTTTAACTGTCCAGTGGTAGTAGGTTTCTGGAGAGTTATGACATGGAGTAAGTGTGCTCCATCTCTCTTGTGCCATAAATCACCCCTATCTATATACTAACATGATGAGATAGCCACACTATGCCTACCTTAATTTAAGGCTCCAGTTACAAATCAGCCAACACATATTTCATTAAACACAATTGTTGAATTTAAAAATGGTAATTTATTTATTTATAGATATATCAATCAAAATTTCACTATTTGTAATTAAGAAACATACACAATGCATTTTTTGAAACTTGATAAAAATTATCACCATATTGTAAGACACTGAAAGTAGATTAAAGATACTGTGACACCTTAGATGATAAGTAACTTTTGAAATTATGTACAATAAGTTAAGCATACAAATTATCATTACAACACTTATAATTTACATTGTACAAAATATCAAACAATTCATTTTCTATCCAAAAGAAACAGAATATTTTACAAGAAACTGCTTCATTTTTTGTAAAATCTTCTAGGAATTTGTTAAATTTGATTAAATGACAAAATTTCTTTAATTGGAATCAAACAAGTGCCATTTTTCTGGGGTTGTTCTAATGATAATATTTTTCAATCTATCCTTAATGATCAGACACAATTAACAAATTTTGGGAAGAAAGCAAAAGAACCATTCAAGCTATCATAACCTTAATCCCCAGAATATTTCCATTAGACCTGTATTTTTCACAAGTGTATGTTAATTAAGAACAAAACATTATGTAAACACTGTTCTGATACTTAAGAGATGAATTAATGTCTTAATTAAGACTAGCAAACAGGTGTTAATTACTGCTAGTCTTCTAGTTAATTAAGACATAGAAGCACCTGATTGAGATACCCGACTAAGGTTAAATGTCATACCTTACTAATGAAGATACCTGTAGATCTAACAGTTTGCACCTATCTCAAGCAACTGTCACAGTTTACTGCTTGTAATGAAACAAGTATGGACAAACTGTTAAATCTATTCTATAACAGCTCAACACCTTAAATATGCCAGGCAATCATGAAAGTGCATTTTGTCAATGTCCTACTTTTTGAAAATGTCCTACTTTTTGAAAATTAAATGTTCCAAACTGATTCCAAATAATCTTAGATTTATACTTCAATAATTTTGATGCATTGATATAATATATAGGCTATGCCTGGTGCCTAATCCAATTTTATATTACATCTTCTCAACAATCTTATCATGGCACTTATATAAATCCAATTATCACATTTTTTCTCACACTTCTGAAATTCTAAACTTTGTCAGCAAATGATATGATTACCTGGATATGATAGGTATCCCTTTGTATATTTATAGGATATAGAAATAGATACTATAAGCCCACACACAATATTGAATAATAAAATGACTTGAATAACTGACAGCTGTATCATGCACATCTGTAGTGTGGGCATCCTGATAACTAACCTTTTTATCATCTGTGTCATCAAAAGTCACCAAATCATTGAAATATCACTATTCATATTTCATACAAAAAAATATGAATGATTTTTTTAATGAAACTTATACAATTTAAGCATTGTTAATTATAATGGTTAATTAAAATTGTGTAAAATGCAGAATAATATGACTTTCTTAATTAAAAAACGATCTATTGTAATATTGATTTAAAGATTATCAATAAAAGATTTTTGAAAATTAAGAAAATCCATTTGACTAGAAGCCTGCTTGTTTCAAATGTCTTTCACTTTCTGCAGTTATAATAAAAACTATCTTGAAGTTAAGAAATCTTGTCACAAAACTCAAATGATTTTGTCTTTTTTATTTGTATTAAAAATAACTTTGACTTTCAAATAGTGTTGATTCCTAAAAATTAACAGAAGAATCATTTATTAAAATATTTTTGAAATAATGAAACTGATTAAAAAGTTCCTACCTTGGTCAAGTTTGGCGTGGAAGGCAGCCAAGGAAGTATGGTTGTCGATCTCCTTCTCTGGATACAAAGCATCATTGGTGTAGAGTAACATTTCCTCTGTGGCGTGAACACCTCTCACAGTTCGGTAAAATACCTGTGTTTAAAGTGAAGTACTTGCTAGATAATCATCCCTCTAATACCGACTCCTTGTATATCACACTGTCCCTGTGTCCAGTAGGTATATGTCCTCGTCTGTCTGTCAGTCAGTTCCACCCGAAAGATTACACCTCCAAAATCGTCTTGTTTAATTGTTCATCCAGAAATAATGAACACAGTTTTAAAAACGCTAAGATAGTTATCAACTAAAAAATGCCTGCCAAACTAAAACTCGCCAATCAATGATGAACCTTGCCAGTTTCACTTCGTTATGATCTATTTTCCTTTTCTAACCGACTTGTCAATCACCCACGCACTGACGTTTAAACTCCACCTTCATATTGATTACACTAGCCAATCAATGCGCAGCTACCCAAACCACTTGCCTAAGCCCCGCCCACACCAGTAATGTAACCGTAATCCAACAGCTTTCACAAAAATGTCATAGACACAAAGAAATACTGTTGCTTTGTTTACACAAGGCTACCGGCTTTTTTTCTATTTACAATAGGATATTACACCAATGTTTCCTCTGTTTGTTTATTTTTAAGACTGTATCCCTGGCATGTACAAATTAAACAACTAATTGTACTTGTTTGCTACTAATGACTACACAAGTGTGTCATACTGACAAAAACCTGAACAGTTAACAGTAATAATCCACTCCACATATCCTAACTGTTTTCATGAGAAAGTTAGATTGAATACCCAAGCTTGACAGTCTGAATAACACTTTAGTGAGATGTCAGTTCCAATTAATCTCCACAGAAAACAGTTACAGGGATGACACTGATTTTAAAATCACATCACACAGATGATTCTCAGGAAAATCCAGACATTTAAAAATATGTCAGTATTAAGTCTACATTTTTTTCAGGAGATGACACCTGTTTGATGCAAATTTCAGATCTGCTTGAGCTTCTTATTAATTCGATTAGAAATTCGAAGACATATTTGCAAATAAACTACAAAAAGATTATCCCTCTTAAATAGAAATGTTGAAAATTAAAAATTATTTTAAACAAATGAAATCAAAACTTCATAGAACAAAAAAAGTAAATATATCATAGCTGCTGTTTTGTGGAGAGTTTGTTTTATATCTTAAAGTTTTTATTACAATTATTATATTTATCTAAGATACTATAGGAATGATAATGTTTATCTTAATAGTCAATAAAGTCTTGTTAAATTGTCAGGTAAACTTTACCTTCTTAATTTATTAATAAAGTTTTAAAGTGAGTGTCAATAAAACCCTATCTTCAGAAATTGTAAGATAAAATTTTGATTGTAATTATAATTAAATTGTGATAATATCTATCCAATAAAACCACCTATAATGAGCAATCATAAGTATTTATGCAAAATAAAATAAAAACCAATTTATCAAGATTTGATAAAATATATCTACATTGATGACTTTGTAGAGTTGTTTGAGAGGTAGCTATTTATCAAGCTTGTGACTAGCCACTTTTCATGAACCTGTCATCTGTTTACAGTGGGTAGGTCTCTATTGGAGGAACACAATCCATGATTATGTCATGTCAAAGACTCCCTTTTGTTCTCCACCCACCTCATGATTAGGGGCTGGGGTCAGATCCCTATCCAGACTCTGACATCTCACCCCTGACCTCTACTAATCAGTGGATCAACACTGCACATTCATCAGTATTTACACTATAACAAGTGAAACAACGCTCTGCCAGTCAGGACCTGCTTGTCAATGTTCAATAATCTCATAAACCTTAATCAGATATTTTTGCTTTTTAATTTTGAAACTGAAAATTTATTTTGCCTCGGAAGATACTACTGTACTCAAGTAGATAAAAATCAATTGACACATTATTCTTCTGCTAAATTTTGAGATGCTATAGAAAAAGGAATAATAATAATATCAGCGCAAAGTTTCACTTTTCCTCACAGAGCACCTGTTCATAATGGACAATGGCTATAGTCTAAACCACACAATTACAGAGAAAAACACTTATCAGAGCACACCTGTCTGTCAAGGACAATACCTACTGTATATATCTCAACTCTACAGAGATAACACCTGTCTATAATGGACAACATCTACAGTATATAACACTCATCTACAGAGATAACACCTGTCTATAATGGACAAAATCTACAGTATATAACACTCATCTACAGAGATAACACCTGTCTATAATGGACAACATCTACAGTATATAACACTCATCTACAGAGAGAACACCTGTCTATAATGGACAAAATCTACAGTATATATAACACTTATCTACAGAGAGAACACCTGTCTATAATAGACAATATCTATGGTATATAACACTCATCTACAGTATATTGTATACTGTATATAAAACACCTCTACAGAAAGGACACCTGTCTATAATGGGCAATATCTACAGTATATAACACACCTATACAGAAAGGACACCTGTCTATAATGGGCAATATCTACAGTATATAACACACCTATACAGAGAGAACACCTGTCTATAATGGGCAATATCTACAGTATATAACACACCTATACAGAGAGAACACCTGTCTATAATGGACATTGTATACTGTATATAAAACACCTCTACAGAAAGGACACCTGTCTATAATGGGAAATATCTACAGTATATAACACACCTATACAGAGAGAACACCTGTCTATAATGGACATTGTATACTGTATATAACACTCCTCTACTCTAAAGAGAAAAAACCTTTTTATAATGTATATAACACTTCTTTATAGAGAACACCTTTCTGTAGTGGACAATAGTTTGCTGCATGTAACATCTCCACAGAGAAAACACCTGTCTATAAAGGCAAATATCTTTGGAATATAACATACTTTAAAGAGAGAACCCTATTGGAAATGGCCTGTAAATCAATCTTGATTTCAGTATAGGTCCAGAGAAATGACAAATGAAATATTTACCCTAACTGTCTTGGAAATTAATTTATTTTCATCTTATCCTTCATCCAAACTCTCTAAAACAAAAATGACTCTATCTTTTTTCTTTGTATCAAATTTAATCTAAAGCATGATTTGTTCAATGATTAAAATCATGACAAAATCTGGCCGTTTATCTCCGAGGGGATAATATTTGAAGACCCTTGAAGAAGGCCGTTGTGCACGTGTGAGAGAAGTGTCTTGGGCTTTGATTCTCTGAGATGACCTCTTCCAATAAAACAATGCAAAGAGACCCATCTGTCTCTGACTCTTCAATTTACTGATGTCACCTATAAAATTCATGTTTGAGAGCTACTGTAGGACATGAAAGGACGAGAGGAGTGCCGAAATACCAGTTAATACTCGAAATGAAGTGTATATGCTTTGTTAATATGAAAACATGGACTGATCTAAGACAAAAGATTGCTGTTGGCCATATTCAAATTCTTGATTGCTTTTTGTATAAATATTTGCCGTCTAATCTCAGAATTATCAATATTTGCTGGAAATCCGGGGAAGACAGATGCAAAATGACAAGCAATACAATCCATTGTACTTCAAGATTTTATTTTACCTGTGTTATGTCTGTATTGAAAATCCTATAAGCCAATTTATTTTTGTTTTTCAATCGTTCGTTCGTTTTAATATATATCAACTTTCTTGAAGATCTTTCTACTGTATCATCAGAAATCATCTCTTATATTGAGAAAATCTTTGAATACATTGGTAACAATTGATTGATTGGTATTTAGAAAGTCATGTGTATTGTAAACACATGTATATTTTTTAAAAGTTGACAGGTTGGATGCAGGTTTAATTCCAAATAAAGTAAGTTCCTAGTGGAGTGTTCAAACTCCAAAACACAAAGTTGTTTACTTGGAGAAAGTCCTTCGTTAAAGTAATACTAAGTCATGTTAAATTTGGCGTTAAAATTTTATTTTTTGTAAATATAACATATGGAGTGTGTAAGCGTGCAGGCCCCATAATTTGTAAAATAATGAAATTCTGACAAAAATGAATCTATAGATTTGGTATGTGGATGAAACGTTCTTATACAACCTATCACAAATGCATATTAAGTACATAGTTCTTCAAAACACAAAAAGATGTACTTAAAACATTTGAGAATCCATCAACTAAGCTGTTTTACTAGAGTATCTGACAGTTTTTAAAGACCAAAAAAAAAATAAAAGTAATTTGAATAAGGCTTAAATGAGCTTGGAAATGTTTAGTACGTAACACCTTGGTGAGTCTATACCAGATGTCACGGTAAGATACTTAAGACTGGATCCAAGTGGAAAATACAAAACTCTGAAAAGCACAAAAAATTCTTGAAATCTTATAAAGCTGTCCATCTCAAGTGGATTCAACACAGAAATGCTGAAACTTCCTTTTATACAATCATCCTCCTAGCCCCAGTTTTCTGTTACTCTGATAAGGATCTCCATGTCACAGTCAGCATCTCCACTTGGTAAGCTTTCACAGAATTTCAAAACAAAAATGAAAACCTACTAAAACCTGATAATTTTGAAAAAAAAAAATCTTAAATAGTGACAGTTTATAAAGAAAACAGATGCTTTCGTCTTTAAATCAAATTAATAAGGATATTTCTAAGTACCTGTTTCTAGTCTAAATTTCTAGTTTCTGACTATAACGTCTTACATAAAGCTAACTGCATGGACATTCCGAGTGATATCGCCAAGCATCCTTACTTATCCCTATAGGTGCCCTGGTCACTTAGACCTCAGTTGTCATGTTTCAAATTTACCCCATGAAGTGAGGGATGACATTTTTCCAGCATCCCCAACTTTCTGTTTAGTAATTTATACCACATGTTTAGTTTGTTTTTACGATTACAACAGCAGGGCCTGTTGATTACTCAAGTTGTCCGTCTTTTGAGAAGATTTTCACACGCTTCAATTTTTTGTCTTGAAAATGCCATCATATTGCTTTCAAATTGCCATGAAGCATTCTTTGTTTGGATGATATCTTTTTGTTTGTCATTTTTCAAAAATCTGACACCAACACTCTTTAATTTTGACTGTAACTGCCATATTTTTTGGTAATAATTTTTAATTCTCTATCTAGACTGTGAAAGTAAAGCATTATGATCTACAAGAATGCTTCTTGGACCCTGAACAGATGGCTCGCAGAAGTCTTGTTAACATATCCTTCCACCACAGAATAAGTGAATAAATATTTTTCATTGCAACATTTGATATGGCCTAGGTTAAAAGAAGGTACTGTAAAACTGATTATTTTAGTGGGGAT